CCTGACAGTTGCTCTGTGTTCTTTCATGCGATTCTGCACTTTGCACTGTTGGTCACTTATGGCCCCTCGGGGAGTATGTAGTTGGTGGGGGTGAAGTTACTAGGGGTCCTGGTGCCATGAGAATTAGGGGCAGTGCTTTGAGCCCTGCTGCCAATTCCTGCTTTTCAATGGCCTCCCTTTACTGGAGGGCTACAATTGCTCCATTCCCTTTTCGTTCTTTCTCTTTGGGCTTTGGTGAGATAAACACTTCAGCTGGTTCTTGCCTTTCTCTGTTTTCTAATTCTTTCTCACTAAGTGGGAGGGTTCTTGTCCTACTTCCTTCATCTCACCCTCATCACCTTGGGGATAATTCTCTTCTTTCCTGTCTCCATGTGCTCTCAGGGAGGATTCAGGTCTCTGCAGGTAATACCCCATTCTGGACCCTCTCCTAGTCTCACCCTTATCTTCCATCCTAGTCAGGGGCTATACCTAGGAACTGGAGGCTTCAGGGTGGGGAGTTGTTTGCTGTCTAGGTCTTCAGTCTGTGGCTGACTGATGCATGTTAGGGGCTAAATCTTGCAGAGTGTGTACTTGGGAACCGGGCAACCTTTGCATGTTACTGTTTAGTTCCTCAGTACCTTAGGGTGGAGCAGTGTGTGATGGGGAGTATGTTGCCCGAAAGGGCTTTACTTAGGCATGATGCATCTGGGTGTTAGGAAGTCTCTGTGGAGGGGTAGCCTGGTGGAGGAGACATGAATGTACATGGCAGTGAGGTAGTAAATACACAAGGTGCAAAGTGTATACCTTAGTGTCAAGGGCATGTGTTAGTACAAGAGGCCACTTAACCATCATTTGGTCAGTTGGGTCTTGGAAAGACTGGTCCCCATTCTCTAAAGCCCCCAGTGCTTCTCTCCAGACTAGAGGCATTGCAGAGTGGCCATTTTGCTGTCCACTTCCTCCTCTTCCCAATATCAACTGCCTTCTTCCCTCTTGACAGCACTTCTACCCTAGCCGGGCTCAGCCCCCGAGCAGTGCAGCTTCCCGAGTGCAGAGTGCAGCCCCTGCCCGTCCTGGCCCAGCTGCCCATGTCTACCCTGCTGGATCCCAAGTAATGATGATCCCTTCCCAGATCTCCTACCCAGCTTCCCAGGGGGCCTACTACATCCCTGGACAGGTAGGCTGTAGTCTTGGGGGCTGGAAGCCACAGAATCTTATATCCCAACCCTCACCTCCCCTGACCTTTTAGTCCCATCTCTTCTCCAGTGATGGGACTTCCTTCTGGTCACTGCCCAGAGTTGGCTTGTCCTATCTTGTCCTACATTCTCTTTGTAGTCTGATATGGTATTCAGCTTCTTCACCTCCTTCTCTTCCCTCCTCCTCCCTCTTCCCCCTCACCAGGGGCGTTCCACATATGTTGTTCCGACACAGCAGTATCCTGTGCAGCCAGGAGCCCCAAGCTTCTATCCGGGTGCAAGCCCTACAGAGTTTGGGACCTACGGTAAGCAGGGGAGGGAATCAGGTGAGAGTGAGTCCCAGGGAGCATCTGATCTAATTCCTAATTCTTTCTAGGTTTGTCTCTTGGTCTAAAAATGATAGGGTTAGTAGGTAGTAGGGATATGTGTGGGTGGTAGGGGATTTTTATCCTATTCCTGAGAGTTGAAATCCTCCGCACCTCAAGGAATATTGTTGGGTCATGTACCAGTTTGAGGGCCTGTTCGTAAACATTTCCCGTGACACTCGTTCCATGGTTGGGGGAGCCCATGTAACATGGATTTGGGAGGTTTTTGTAGCTGTTTTTCATTTATATTCTAGGACAGGATTAGTCTGTTCTTTATGGCAGTGGTTTCCAAAATTTTTTGATCCTCTGTCAGGAAAAATTGAGTATGTACCACTAATACATGTATGTTTTTGTTTATATGTTTGCACAATTAAAACAAACGATGCTTAGGTTTCTTGTGAACAACAAACAAGTGGAGATTATGGATGAGATTAAAGAATGTATCCCATTATGGAGACCATTGCTTTAAAGAATTAATTTTTCTTCTTCCTGGGCCTGGTTCATAATGTTAATTTTTATTTCCTTGCCCCTGAGCAAAGGGCTGGAGACTGCAACTGGACTCAGGTTGAGTGGACAGGGTTGGCAAATCTCTTTTTCTCATTTCCAGCCAAAGACCTGATTCTATTTCAGGTTAAGTAGTTGCTGTATATGTGGCGCCCAGGGATGGGGTACATACACAGCATGTAACTGGGTAGAAGAGGAACAGACAGAATTCTGGTAGCTGGTGTGTGATGGGGAATGAGTTGCTGCCTATGAGGGGTGTGTGTGCCAGTGTCAGGAATTCTTGTAAACGCAGCTCAGACTGGTTCCCCAGCTTTGACAGACACCTAATTCCCTTGGGGAGGAGGGTGGGGCAGGGCAAGGGGCCGGCTGTGGGTGCTAAGTTCTGGGGCTGGGAGGTGCTCAAGCAGGCATTTGTATATGGTTGTGCCCTGACGCTGCTACCATTCTTCCTTTCCGTGTGTTGTCCCCCCCCCCCCCCAAGCTGGCACCTACTACCCAGCCCAGGGTGTGCAGCAGTTTCCCACTGGTGTGGCCCCCGCCCCAGTTTTGATGAACCAGCCACCCCAGATTGCTCCCAAGAGGGAGCGGAAAACGGTGAGTAGTAACAAGGGTCTCTAGTACGTCTTGGAAAAGGAGAATCAAGGTCAGGCGCCTTGTGGGTCAGGGAGCAGGAAGTTGAGGAAGGAGACCTTCAGTTGAAGTGGGCAAACAAAGAATGGGGATCTGTGAAGTGCTCAGGTTTTTTGTACAGTGCTAAGATTACAGTGTACAAGAAGCTCATGGGAAGACTGAAGTGGCTAGTGGGGAAACACCTGAGAGACCTGGATTCTGGGATCCATAAAATCTTTGTTTGGCTTTAGGTTTCTGGTGGCTTGCTTTAGAAATGGTTACTTTTCTGTGGCCCCACCCCCACCCCCACCCCCTAGTCCTGGAAGCTCTTGAGGCCTCCGCCTCTGCTCAATCCTCAAGCCCTGGGCGTGGTGCCCAGAATAGGGTGCCAGGGCTGGGGAAGCCGCTGAGTCACCCTGGCTCCACCCACTGGATCTGGGCCCTGCCCCCAGAGATCAGGCCGACTAGCCACAAGTGAGCCTAATGGGTGCTAGACAGGGGTTCTGGGCTCCAGGTTGTGCAGCCACTGACTTGGGGACTGTTGGTGAGGCAGGGATGAGGGAGGGAGGGGCATTGTGATGTACAGGGCTGCTCTGTGAGGTCAAGGGTCTCTTAGGGGTGGGGACCAGGGCAGGGACTACAAGAGCAGCCGGATGGGTTGACAGTAGAACTCAGGGTTTCCGGCACCCACCCACCTGCTTCCCAGTGGGAGGGTGGAGGGTTGGCCTGGAGTCTTAGGTGTGGGGCAGGGTGGAGAGGTGGGCTCCTCCTGCTTTCCACTCATCCTGTAGCTTTCTTTCCCCAGATCCGAATTCGAGATCCAAACCAAGGAGGGAAGGATATCACGGAGGAAATCATGTCTGGGGCACGAACTGCCTCCACACCCACTCCTCCCCAGGTATTGTCTGCTCTTTGAATAATGCCATGGCTGAGATGGCTATTCTGCCCTGGACTCCCAAGTCCTGTGGTCTTTTCTGTCAACTAAGGGCCTTATTTCCCTGCTTTCCTGGATTTCTAGGCAGAGCTAAAGTAGAAATGGCTCTAGTAAAGAAGGGTTGTGGGACTCTTCAGGGCAAACTTGGTAACCCTTTGTGTCCTGCAGACGGGAGTTGGTCTGGAGCCTCAAGCTAATGGGGAGACTCCCCAGGTTGCTGTCGTTGTCCGGCCAGGTGTGTAAGCATGTGGTGCAGAGCTTTTACGGGGAAAGAGTGTGGCAGTTTAAAATGCCAAGGAGGTTTGGTAACTTGAACCAGGTGCCAGAGAATAATGGCTTAGGTTTCAGGTAGTGGAGTTTGAGGGTGGATTGGATTTTGGGGGAAAAGGGAAAAGGCTTAGGTAGGAGAAGATTACAGGAGGGGAGTGTTAGGTTGGGAATGCCTTAGCTGGGAGGCAGTGGTGGAGGAACAACAGCAGTGAAAGACTTGCCTTTAATTACTCATTCTTCCTTCCTGTGGTGCAGATGACCGGTCACAGGGAGCAATCATTGGGGGCCGGCCGGGGCTGCCCGGCACAGAGCATAGCCCTTCAGAATCCCAGCCTTCATCACCTTCTCCAACCCCATCACCACCCCCAATCTTGGAACCAGGATCTGAGCCTAATCTTGCAGTCCTCTCTATTCCTGGGGACACTATGACAACGGGGATGATACAAATGTCTGTAGAAGAATCAACCACCATGCCCCGTGAAACTGGGGAGCCATACTGCATCTCTCCAGAGCCCACTCCCCTCGCTGAACCCATACTAGAAGTAGAAGTGACACTTAGCAAACCAATTCCAGAATCTGAGTTCTCTTCCAGTCCTCTCCAGGTTTCCATCCCCCTGGCATCTCCCAAGGTGGAAATTCTTCCTGAGCCTAATGGCATGGTCCCATCTGAGGATCTAGAACCAGAGCTGGAGTCAAACTCAGAGCTCCCCCCTCTCCCTCCTCCTGCCCGTCCCTCTGAATCCCCTACTCCTGTTGCTCCAACTGCTCAACCCGAGGAACTGCTCAATGGAGCCCCCTCGCCACCAGCTATGGACTTAAGCCCAGTCATAGAGCCAAAGGAACAGGCCAAGGAAGTTACGGCACCAGTGGCTCCCCCCACCATCCTTTCTGCCACTCCAGCTATGGCTCCTCCAGCGACTTCCCCTGCTCCAGAGGAGGAAATGGAAGAAGAGGAGGAGGAGGAGGAAGAAGAAGAAGAAGGAGGAGAAGCTGAGAGTGAAAAGGGAGGAGAGGAACTGCTCCCCCTGGAGACTACCCCTGTTCCAGCCCATCTGTCCCAGAATTTGGAGGCAGCAGCAGCAGCCACCCCAGGTAAGGTGTGGCTGGATGGTAAGGTGGGTCAGGCTGGAGGGTGTGGTTCTTTCTGTTTATTGATGATCTCCCATTTGTGCCATTATGTCTGGGTCAGGAACCCTGTGATGGAAACTAAGAGCTAGATTAAGGACTTTAAAGTTTCAAGAGGGTGTGATAGAAAGAGGAAATGTTAACACACAGTTGGCTGCTTTTTTCCCTAGGCTAGAGGTACTTAAATTATTTCCACTCCTTTTTATCCCCTAAATAGTGGCAGTATCTGTGCCAAAGAGGAGACGGAAAATTAAGGAGCTCAATAAGAAGGAAGCTGTAGGAGATCTTCTAGATGCCTTCAAGGAGGTAAGGGAGCAGATAGTTGCAGAGGGCAGAATTTGGGTGTGGAACAGTGGTTGAACTGCAACTGAACAGAATGTCCTTCAGTTACAGGCTAACTCGGGAGTACCAGAGGTGGAAAGTCAGCCTTTTGTAGGCAGCAACCCTGGTCCAGAACCTGAGGGCAGCAGTGTGCCCCCACGATCTGAGGAAGTAGATGAGACCTGGGACTCAAAGGAAGACAAAATTCACAATGCTGAGAACATACAACCTGGGGAACAGAAGTATGAATATAAGTCAGGTATGCTGAAGGAAGGGTTGAGAGGGCTGAGTACTCTTGTCGGGGCCTCAGGAGACACTAGTATGGTTGGTTCACCTGTCTTCCTTACAGATCAGTGGAAGCCTCTAAACCTTGAGGAGAAAAAGCGTTATGACCGTGAGTTCCTGCTTGGCTTTCAGTTCATCTTTGCCAGTATGCAGAAGCCAGAGGGACTGCCCCATATCAGTGATGTGGTGTTGGATAAGGTTGGTGGGCATGAGAGGGGGTCTAAGTTTATACTAATTGGCTGGCTTGGGAGTAGCCTGGGGTCCTGAAAGAGCAATCAGTAGCTCCAGCCTGTTTGTGATACCTTGTCTGTCCTCTTCACAGGCCAATAAAACACCACTGCGGCCACTGGATCCTGCTAGACTTCAGGGCATAAACTGTGGCCCAGACTTTACTCCATCCTTTGCCAACCTTGGCCGACCAGCCCTCAGCAGTCGTGGGCCCCCAAGGGGTGGGCCTGGTGGGGAGCTGCCCCGAGGGCCGGTGAGTGGAACTGGCTATAGGGGCAGATGGGCAAGGAGATGGGGGTGGGGGGATGGCCCTCTGTGTCTCTTTGGTGAATGAGGAGAAGTCTGCCCTGGAGATGTGTGGTGGTGGTGTCTCAGGTTGTGCTGACTACTGTATCTTCTCTTGTCTTCACCCCTTCCTTAGCAGGCTGGTCTGGGACCCCGGCGCTCTCAGCAGGGCCCCCGAAAGGAGCCACGCAAGATCATTGCCACAGTGTTAATGACTGAAGATATAAAGCTGAACAAAGCAGAGAAGGCCTGGAAACCCAGTAGTAAGCGGACAGCAGCCGATAAGGACCGAGGGGAAGAGGATGCTGATGGCAGCAAAACCCAGGTATTGGCAAATCCTTTTGGTCTCCATTCCTTCTCTTCAGGGTTTGCTGAGCCAACTTTGCCTTTTTGCATCTATCATCACTAGCCTCTTCCATCCTCACTACCCTCTTCCATCCCTCCCAGTGGCCCTTGTTCTTCTGAGAACCTCACTGGATCCTGTGTGTTCTCTGTTCCCTCTCCCCACCAGGATCTGTTTCGCAGGGTGCGCTCCATTCTGAATAAGCTGACACCCCAGATGTTCCAGCAGCTGATGAAGCAGGTGACACAGCTGGCCATCGACACCGAGGAACGCCTGAAAGGGGTCATTGACCTCATCTTTGAGAAGGCCATTTCAGAACCCAACTTCTCTGTGGCCTATGCCAACATGTGCCGCTGCCTCGTGGCGGTTAGTTTCCATTATTTTCTAAATCTTGTGGTCTGGCCTCCCACTTCTTGAGTCCTTCTTTGTTCTCCTCCATTCTGGGCCTTTGATGGCAGCCAAGAGGAGCCAGAGCCAGAGCTAGAGGTCTTCCTGGGTTATGGGTTAGTTAGTAAAAAAGACTGGGAGGGTCTTTCCTGCCCTGGACTAATCTGAATGTGACATTCTCTTTGATACACAGCTGAAAGTGCCCACTACAGAAAAGCCAACAGTGACTGTAAACTTTCGGAAACTGTTGTTGAATCGATGTCAGAAGGAGTTTGAAAAAGACAAAGATGATGATGTAGTTTTTGAGAAGAAGCAAAAAGAGATGGATGAAGCTGCTACGGTGAGAGAAAACCCACCACCATCTCCACTGCTTATCTGGTTGCTGCTTAGCTGTAGAGTTGGTTTGTAATGGTCTGGGGACATGAGTGCTTGTTGCTGGGTATAGAAATCCAGATAGTGGAGGAGAGTGTTTTAGCCATGTGGCTGGATAGCTTTTTAATGTGGTTCCTGTCCAATGACTGCCAGGCAGAGGAACGGGGACGTCTGAAGGAAGAGCTGGAAGAGGCTCGAGACATAGCCCGGCGGCGCTCTTTAGGGAACATCAAGTTTATTGGGGAGTTGTTCAAGCTGAAGATGTTAACAGAGGCAATAATGCATGACTGTGTTGTTAAACTACTTAAGAACCACGATGAAGAGTCCCTTGAATGCCTTTGCCGTCTGCTCACCACCATTGGCAAAGACCTGGACTTTGAAAAAGCCAAGGTAGGGGTCCTGGGATATGGAAGGGGACAAACTGAAATACGTGGGGCCTGCTGTGCACTGACAAACTCCCTGTTGGGCTGGCATGTCTGGGACACTGAACCATAGTGATGGAGCTGAGGGCCTGCAGCTGGAGATGAGGAATTGGGAGTTCCTGGCCTGACTCCTGTGCTTCCTCCTAGCCCCGAATGGATCAGTATTTCAACCAGATGGAAAAAATAATTAAGGAAAAGAAGACATCATCGCGAATCCGCTTTATGCTACAAGATGTGCTGGATCTGCGACGGGTGTGTGTTCCCTCCTTCTCACTGCTAGCCTGCTGCCTCTGACCCCACAGCCCCCACTTAGTTCCTGACCCTGCTTTGCCTGGTCTCTCTAATGTAAGTTTCTTGTGACTGGCTTCCTGACTCCACAGAGCAACTGGGTGCCACGCCGAGGGGATCAAGGTCCCAAGACCATTGATCAGATCCATAAGGAGGCCGAAATGGAGGAGCATCGGGAGCACATAAAAGTGCAGCAATTAATGGCCAAGGGCAGCGACAAGCGTCGGGGTGGCCCTCCAGGCCCACCTATCAGTGAGTTTGAGGCTAGGATTGAGGAGGGGGCAGTTTGAGGGGTTGTGCTTTCCACTGATGACTTCTTATTAGTGCCACGTGTCTGGGCCACTGATACCCCATGATGGAACTGAGGATCTGAGGAAGCGAGGCTGGGGTCAGCCCAAGGGGACAGGGCTGTTAGGTCTTACTCACTATTTCAGTATGCTCTCCTTTTTGTCCAAGGTCGTGGCCTTCCACTTGTAGATGATGGTGGTGGCTGGAACACAGTCCCCATCAGTAAGGGCAGCCGTCCTATTGACACCTCACGACTCACCAAGATCACGAAGGTAGGGGTGTGTATATTGGAGGGGGTGACGTTAGTAATAGGGTAAAGAGGGATCAAAGTGGGCATTAAGCACAATTTGGGTCTTAGTTCCCTCATTCTCTGAGATTGGGAAAGTGACAGCTGAAATTTTCCTTAGACTAACTGGTTAGATTACTAGAGACATGGGTCTGGGCTACTCTGTGGTCAGTAAACTGATATACATGCCAAATTAGGTCCATTCCCTGTTTTGTACATTTTCTAGGCTAAGAATGGTTTTTACATTTTTAATGGTTGTGAAAAAGTGAGTGCTATTTATGTGATATGAAATTACATAGGGATTTTGTTTTCATTTTTTAAAAATATGTTTTTATTGTTTTTTTTAGAGAGAGGGGAAGGGAGAGATAGAAACATTGATGTGAGAGAGAAACATTTATCAGTTGCCTCCTGCACACCCCTAGTGGGGATCGAGCCTACAATCCAGGCATGTGCCCTAACCAGGAATTGAACCAGGACCTCTCAGTCCATGGGACGAGGCTCAATCCACTGAGCCACATTGGCTGGGCTGAAATAACATAAACTTTAAATGTTGTTGTCCATAGTTTTGTTGAACTCAACCACTCTCATTCCCTTTATCCTCTGTGACTGCTCTTGTGTGACAACGGTAGTGTTGAGTATTTGAAATGGAAACTGTGTGGCTACAAAGCTTAAAATATTTACTATCTGGCCCTTTACAGGAAAAGTTTGCCTGGCCCCTGGTCTAGGCTGTTCGTGGCTGTGTGGCTGGGGGCTTTGGCCAGCTCAGACCCATGTCTCTTCATTCCCTTTCCTTCCTCAGCCTGGCTCCATTGATTCTAACAACCAGCTCTTTGCACCTGGAGGGCGATTGAGCTGGGGCAAGGGCAGCAGTGGAGGTTCAGGAGCCAAGCCTTCTGACGCAGGTATGGAGGCGACTGTAAAGAGATGGGTGGGTATTAATGAGCTCTTCTGAGGGTAGAGCCTTCCTGTATGGGAGGTTTGTCTCCTTGTCTATGTGGGAGGCTTTCAGTACAGAGTGGTTAGATAATATAGGAGCTGTGTACTACTTGGTGGGACTAGGGACTGAACTGCTTTAGTGTTGGGACTAGCACCAAGTGTCCTAAACTGACAAGTAGGTATAGGATATAAGAAAATAGATTTAATCTTTATTTTCTGCTTTCCCAGCATCAGAAGCTGCTCGTCCAGCTACTAGTACCTTGAATCGCTTCTCAGCCCTTCAACAAGCAGCACCTACAGAAAGCACAGAAAACAGACGTGTGGCCCAGAGGTGAGTTTTCCTAGGTGTCTGATTTTATACACATGGAGAGTACCATGATTGGGTTTGGGTTGTTGCCATAGGAATCCTCACATACAACTATAATGCTCAGAGGCCCTGGCTGATCATAGGGCATATTCCTAATGCCAAGAACAAGGCCTGATGGTGGCTCAGCATGTTGAGTAGTTAAAGGAGAGAGCACTTGTGCAGTACAGGTGAGAGACCACGTGCTTGTCTTATAGGAGTAGCTTGAGCCGGGAACGAGGTGAGAAAGCTGGGGACCGGGGAGACCGCCTAGAGCGGAGTGAACGGGGAGGTGATCGTGGGGACCGACTTGATCGCTCTCGAGCACCTGGCACCAAGCGGAGCTTCAGCAAAGAAGTGGAGGAGCGGAGTAGAGAGCGGCCTTCCCAGCCTGAGGGCCTGCGCAAGGCAGCCAGTCTCTCAGAGGATCGGGACCGTGGGCGAGATACTGGTAAGGGATTGAGAGAGGAAGGGGAAGGGGATGGTGTGGGCTAGTCTGGGACTAGCCAGTCCCTAGGTAGTCTTCAGACCTCCAGATGTTTGCTGAAAAGACTGGAACTAAAGAGTCTCTGATCTGTTTTGTACTCCCTCAGTGAAGCGGGAAGCTACCCTGCCTCCTGTGAGTACCCCAAAGGCTACTCTCTCAGAAGAGGAGCTGGAGAAGAAATCCAAGGCCATCATTGAGGAATATCTCCATCTCAATGACATGAAGGTTGGTAGTGGGAGGGGTCTGTGCTGTCCAGTGTGCAGTGTAGGTCTGGGCCAGGCACTGACTGCACTCTTCCACCTATACCCTGTTCCCCATGCAGGAGGCAGTGCAGTGTGTGCAGGAGCTGGCCTCGCCCTCTCTGCTCTTCATCTTTGTGCGGCATGGCATTGAGTCCACGCTGGAGCGCAGTGCCATTGCTCGTGAACATATGGGACAGCTGTTGCACCAGCTGCTCTGTGCCGGGCACCTCTCCACTGCTCAGTACTATCAAGGGTATGACTGACTTCGATGACCCCTTTCACTTTTACAGACCCACAAATTGCCTTCCTTTGTAGGACCTGTGGAACCTTGGGGAAGAATTTAGGCTTCTCAACCGTCCTGGTCAACATTATTTTAAGCAGGGATGGGTGCGTTGAGCCATTTAAGGGATAAGAACGTGTCCTTATCTTGAGATAGTTGTCCCATGTTTAGGGAATGTTGCTAATGGGCCACAGTTGACCCTTGAGTCATGCCTTGTTGCTCCAGAAGGAGGGTGGGCTCCTCTCCTAGAATGCTCCGACTTTGAATTCCCTTTGCAGACTGTTCGAAATCCTAGAATTGGCTGAAGACATGGAAATTGACATCCCCCATGTGTGGCTCTACCTAGCAGAACTGGTAACACCAATTCTGCAGGACGGTGGAGTACCTATGGGGGAGCTGTTCAGGTGAGTTCCTTTGGTGGAATTCAGAGGAGGTAAAGACAAGAAGAGAGGGGGTCGGGGGAGTAAGGGGTGGGGAGTGTGTCTAGGGCTTTGGAGCCTGTCAACACCAAAGTTTTCTTACAGGGAGATTACAAAACCTCTGAGGCCCCTGGGCAAAGCTGCTTCCCTGTTGCTGGAGATCCTGGGGCTCCTATGCAAAAGTGTGGTGAGTGAGAATCTTTCAAGAGTGATGTGTTCAGGATTTCTCTATCCACTGTGTGGTTTTGGCTACTTGCGGTGACACTGAAGCCTCTCTTGGTCCTTTGGTGGGATGGGGTTAATGGGAATGTATGGTAGAGCTGTGTTAGTATCTGAGAGAGGCTGGTACTCCCTCAGACCAGTTCCCCTTGTGAGTGTTGGCCAAGGCTGGAGAATGGTTATCTAAGACCCTAGACCCTTGATTGATTCAACTGGTGTTTTTTTTAAAAAAAACATTCACTACATAGTATGCATTGATAATACAGCAATGAATAAAATAGGAAACAAGTTGGAAGAGAAAAAAAAATGACAGCTTAACAAAAACAACTGTGTGAAGTAAAGCATGAAATAAAGTGGTTGAAATGAAGTGATTTAAGGGCTGTGAGGTTGCAAAGCATGTCTGTTTGATAATGTTCACGACAGTGTGCTTTCCTGGAAAGGCACTGAAGCTGCCTGGTGTGACGAGTAGGTGGGAAGATGGGAAAGGAAAACTGAGTGTGGTGCTTAGTGGTAGTGAGAAGTTGGAAAGGGCAGTTTCAGGAGTTCAGCTACCTGGAACCTGGAGGAATGAGACTTTGAATGGAAAGGATTATTCTTTGGTGTCGTTATTAATCCTTTTAGGTAGAAACATGTACCAGGGTAATTTGTTTTGAAAAAAGAAAAAGCCTATTGAACTACTTGTATATTTTCATTGAATCTAAGGCGCCATGAATTGTAGGACGTATTTATGCTCTGCTAAGAGAAAAAAGATGATTATATTTTTTTAATGCGCTATGTCAACTGAGACAGCTCCATTTTAGTGGTATTACAATGGGTATCTTTAAAGTCCACAAATTAGAATAATCTTGTTAAGGGTTGATGTCATTCTTTTGAATACCTGTTGCTATAAAAGTGATACCTTCAGAATCTCTTGCCTTTAACAGCATATGGGCTCAGACTGTTGTTTATGTGAGGATTCTGATTTGTGTTGGGGGTGGGTGGGTATATACGCTTCTAGAAAACTCGGGAACGAAATAAACGTACTTGTTAGTTGTCCTTTCTCATAAGCATTTGTTACTTGGAGTGATGAAAAATTAAGCTATTTTAGAAAAATAAATGTAGACGAGTATGGAAGGCTGGGATGAGATATTTATTTGGATTTGGTGGTTTAGCTTTTGTGGTCTAGTAATTCTTTGAGATTCCTGTGAAAGGTAATTGACATCTTTCCTGGAGGCTCTTAGGGCATTCCCCGTAACCCACAGTTTCAGTGGATGAGTTCTTGTATCTATGATTGATACCATGTTTATGCCTGGTTAGTCTGTAAGCAT